TCCTGCTCCTACTCCTACTCCTACTAGTACTAGTACTACTACTACTACTACTACTACTACTACACGCATCCTGTAGCATGCTGTCTCTATTGTTGATCCGGCGACATCAGATCATCATCACAGCAGTGGGTCGATGCACCTGACTGTCACATCGTGAATACGCGACGGGATCCGCTTCTTTGTGGTTGCGAGGCCCGAGACTTGGGCATCGCGCTTCTTGCTGGTGAAGCACGGAGCACCATTTCCTGTGTTGGCGCTTCCTGGCAGCACCTTTGTGGCTGAGACCCTAAACGCGGGTGGGGGGTAAGGTTGGAGGCTTGCTTGCATTGCCGAGGTCCTTGAGTTTTTTTACCACAACATCCACTACGACGTCCACAACAACAACACAGACAACCACAACTTCAACAACGTCGAGCAGCACCACGGCCACATCGACTACCACATACACCTTTTTCGACAATGAATCCATGAATGACAGCATGAATGAGAGCGAGAATGTTTCAGATCTTGATCTCGAGGACGACGAAGAGGAGGTTGAATCTGAGGATAACAACGAAACCTTTGCTGATTGGCTTGATGTTTCGGGTGACGATGTCATAGAAGGGCCCAAAAGACTGATGTTTGCCACCCGCGAATTTCACGGGAGCTTGCTGATTCCTGGAACCTTGTACTCCTACGCCTTCATCTTCGCAGATGCCCTCGAGCTTGCTGCGCTTGAAGAGAACGACACATGGGATCTGGAATCAGTTTCAGGGATGGAGTCCGTGGCCTTTGCGGTTTCTGCAGCTTGGAGGCGCTATTTGATGCGTGGAAATCTGAAAGCTTCTTGCAAGCTGCACGCCCGTGAATTCCAGCGAAAAAGCTTCTCAGTCCTGCAGCAAACCGATAAGGTTCCCTTTCGGGCCGACTCGCCACCAAGCAGAGGGCGGGTTATTGTCACCCCGTTGCAGGGCCGCGCATTTCTGCAGCACGCAGTTGCCCAGGGTTTCTGAGGAGCAGAGTCGATTGCTTTTATTTGCGGATGCTGTCGATTTGCTGCATTCGTAGCTGCCCCCCTCCCAAGGCACTGCAGACACCATTTCGAATTGCAACCGCTGACTGGGAGGATGAGGATTCGAAGTGGAGTTAAAACTCACTGTTCCCAGAGCAGGAATGTTGTTCAGACACTACAAGTCCTCGGAAGAATAACAGTTCGCGACCCAGGACGAAGAGCTCGAGTACGCTTTCTACCGCTTTCCGATCCAGGGGCCGGGTGGGTTGTGGCAGCACAACTTGCATCAACAAGTCCAGTCTAAGTCGACGAGTCTCAGCAATTTCATGGATCTGCGCAGGAGTGGTGGCCCGGGCTCCCACGGCTTGGAGAGTCGCTTCGAACTGCCGGACATTGAGCTCTGCTCAGCACAACTCAGGGCGGACAGATTCTGTTTTTTCGCCATTCTCAGTCGCGCTCTGTCTTGGCTTCTTTCTGCAACATTGTAAGTCTGGCCCAGGAATGGAACAATGCTTCTCACGCGTCACACTGGCGCAAACAAGGAGGTTTACTTGTTGCACTAGACAGGATCTCATGTAAGGAAGCTGACATGTCGAGCCTAGTGGAGCAGCGATGCTCCGACCAATAGCTTCTGACTTGAGTTTTTGATTGACTTGCTCGGAGTAGGCATGTGCTGAGACAACGAGGCGTTTTGCTCCGATCGTTCTCCACGGTGAAAACCCTGGAAGAGCTGCGCCTCCCAGCAGGATCCTACTTTGTGGTTGTCAGGGCGAGGGACAGCGCCGATGGCATGCATACAGAATTTTTGGCAGCACCATGGGTCTCTGAAGCAACGGACCTCGACGAGGCCAGCTTGACAGAGCTACTCGATTCAGCCCAGAGCAGCAATGATGCGAACTCGATCATCAATGCAGTTGATACCGTGATTTCATCTTTGCCTACAGCTGCAGAGGAGACGTCACAGCTCTCATTGCAACTGATTCTACAAGCGACTGCGCTCATCGACTCTCCAGAGGTTGCTGCTAAGTGCGTAGAAGCAGTGACTGCAGTACTTGTTGGGGCCTCAAGCGATGGCACTGCAGAAGGAGCCACCCTGGAGAGTGCCAGCACAGCTATCGACTCCGCTTTAGACGCCATGGGTACTGTGGGTATGGTCAGTGACGCAGGGGCACTGGTGCTGGAAGGCATCAGCACAGTCGGGGCGACAAGTTCAAGGAGCCTTCAAAACAGGGAAACGGCTTCACGTTTGACAGGCCGAGTCAAGAGCCTCACTGCAAAGCTTGCCGACAGGCTGCTCTTCCAGTTGCCACCAGGCCAAATGGAGCTCTTGAGGGCAGACGATAGAGCTGGGACAGGAGGAAGCTCCAGCCTTAAGGTGGCCAGGATGGGAAGCTCAAACGCACGCCGTTTGGCAAGCACAACCAGCTGCTCGGATGCTTCGGAGACGATTGAACTGTCAACGCTCCAGATGACTCAGCCTCTGCTGGCCTCTGAAGACAGCGCTACTCCTTGGCTTCCAGTGTCCGGGCCTGCCGTGGAGTTTCAAGATGCTGTGTGGCGATCCACAAACCTCTACAACTGGGCCAATCCTGCCTTGGGCGTGAATGCTCATGTGCCAGACGATGCCACGGTTCGCAGCTTCGCTGCTACGGCATGTGGAAGCCCGGTTGTGCTTTTCAACCTGTCGGCCCCGGTGTACATTCGGCTCCGTCTGCCTCAGCCTGAAGCACCACCCAGTGGCTACTTTCTGTCACCAGCCTGTGCCAAGTGGCACGAAGCAGACAGTGCATGGAAGATGGAGGATTTGCAGGTACAAGACGTGGATGCAACTCATCTAACGTGCATTTCTTTTGCCGGCACGGGAGTCTACACGGCCTTTTTCTCACCAACACCAGAACCCACTTCCACATCAACGAGTTCCACCGTCTCCATGACGACGTCAACAAGCACTTCAGCGACCCGCACTTCAAGTACCGCCACAGGACCACTGACAACAACCGCGTCTTCTGTCACGTCAACTGTTACAACTGTGGTTTGGTGGGCGACTGCTGTAACAACACTGGGGATGGACGTTCCTTTCTGTAGTGCCATCGCCGCAGCGAGAGAAGGTTGTAGCTGTTTTGGGCGAGAAGACGTATTCGGTCGAGTCAGGTGAGTCATCGATGCCACCGTCTCCACCAGGAGCGGCGCCGTTCACTTGTTATGGTCCCCGCCGGGCCTCTTGGCAGCAGCGGCGGGTGCACACGCGGTGGCGTCAGATTCGGCAAAGACACGCTTCACTGTCACTGACTGTGCTCTGAGTTCTTTCTAACAGCAAGGTCGGCCAGGAGTGTCGTGCCAAATGCGATCCCGATCCACTGAACACTGATGCTGCGGCGATTTCGTGCCTTCCAGGTTTAATTTGGGCCTTCTCAGTACCATGCCCATCTCCCACCGACGCTCGGCACACATGTCCTGTCCCATCTTTCGGCTTGTCTTCTTCATTCGACAGCACACAGTCTGTTGCAGTTAGGAGCTTCCGCTTGTCGTCACGACGGAAACACCGACAACCAGCTACGAAGTCATGACCGTGTATGGCATGATCGCGCTCGGCACCCTTGGGTTCTTCTTGTGCGTGGCCCTGGGCTGCTCACTGGCGTCGCATCTTCGGTCAGCAGGCCAGCAGAAGGCGAGCCGAGTGGCACCCGAACTGCCTCAAAAGCCGTCTGATGTGTCATCACGGTCTTTGACCTCCGCGCAGATAGTGAGCCGCATGGAAGCAGACCAGCTGCTTTTCCAGACATGGGCGGTCGAAAGTGCAAAGCATCTGCCATCCCCAACCTTCCGCGAGAGATCATCCGAGCCCACTCAGCCAGACAGGCCCGGCACGGATGAGTTGGAACCACCAGCTGATGCAGCCGACCTTCGCACGCTGACTGTTGAAGGAAGCTTTTGGGATTGGGCAAAGGAGTGGTCTCATGCCTCCATCGTGCAGGTGGCCATGCCGGACCCAGCCATGCAGCTGGTCGCTGTTGAGCAGCCGCCCGATCCGGATGCTCAACAAGACGGGGAAGAGGCTGAACTAGAGGAAGACGATGATGAGACGTTTCAAGCTCTACTATTGCAGAACATCGGCTCGGACTCGGAAGAACCTGGACTAAAATCACCTAAAGCACTCACCATGTAGAGGCTGCTTGAGCCGACAGGGGCCTCATTCAAGTGCCTCTCTCCATTAGCGAGAGGGATCACCCTGAAAGGGTCGTCCCTCTCACTGCGCGGGGCCATCCTGCAAGGAACTCGTCCCGTATGACCGAGTGCGATATCTGACAAAAGAGATCAAAAGAAAGTAGCTGAAAGCCTCTGAAAGCCTTCAAGTTGGACTCGGGGCACACTGATTCTGATGCAAAGGCTCCGCGGAGATAACACCGTTGACGATGCAAAGGCACAGCTTGCTTAGGGCTTCGTGCTTCTACTTGCGCAGTTCTACCTGCATCGGGGTAGTCTCAGCCAATGGCCCCTGAAGGAATACTCTAGCAACATGCTAAATTTGAGGCAGCAAGGTTGTTTGAGATTTGCACTTGGTATGGCCACCTTGCTGTTTTCCAGGCGCCGATGCCCATGGAACCAGAAGGCCAGGCTCGCACGGGGTCTCGATGCTGTTTTGACGTGGTTTGGAAGGTAGGCAAACCGAGCTGGACAATTCGTCGCATGTATGTCTCTTCTCGTCCTGACCGTCTGTCTGTCCCGGACGGAGAGTCTGAGGATCAAGCAGGTGCATATTAAACATACGACTTGAGGAAGGAGCCAAAAGGAATGGAAGCCCGGGCTTGGTAAACAAACACCTCTGATGTGCCAGGTCCGCTCGACTTCAGAACGGAGCAGCTAGCCCAAACTGCGAAAGCCTCCGACCTGGAATCGGGAGAGCCCGAAGTGGCTCCAGAGCGAGCTTTTATGCTGGAGCGTTCTGGAGAGACTGTTGCCGTGGAGCGGACGGCAAGAAGTGGCGCTTCGTGAATGCCATCGACAACTTCGAGCTGAGTGCAAGAGCGGCCTTGTCTCCTAGCAGCTGCTCGGTCTCTGCTCGGCGAAGTCCCAAGCCGGGGGCTCTCAAAGCCGAGAAGGAACGCAATACCCTCGGCACGGAGGACTACAGCTTTCGTGGGCTGGCGAAAGCAGTACCGAAAAAGACATTGACAGAGCCTACCGACAGCAGTCAACCCGACTTCGTCCTGACAAGGCGGGGACGAGGAGGCCCGCTCTCAACTCAGGGAAAAATGAGCTGAACTTCCGCGGCGAGAGCGAAAGGAAGGTGGCTCCAATCAAGGATGCCAAGAGCAGAGAGTCGATGCGTGCTCGTGTGGGTCAGGAGCTGCGCACACTGCGGCTCCGCTAGGAGAAACTCAGCCTCTCCCCCCTTCCGAGACTGTATGAGCTGATCGACGCCAGCTGCACAGTCTTTGTTGTAAAACATGCCTGCATTTGCATTTACGTGCAAAGGGTCAGTCAGGCATGCCATGCTGTCGCAAACAGGACACGGATTTGAGGCTGCAGCGACATGCCCATGATTTTGCAGTTCCGTTGTGCTCAGCTGTACTTCCCAATGCCAGCTTCTGACCAAGTTGGAATCGCAAGGACTAGCTTAGTTACCAGTCTTTTTAGCACGACTGTTGGCAGAGACATGAGCTTTCCTACATCAAAGATCAGTGTTTAGTAAGCATTGATGCAGAATTCCACCGCTCTTGGTCTTCTCATGGTGTGGGTTCCTTAGCGCTTCGAGCTTGTCTATGCTTGTACGATGTGGCCAAACGTCACAAGGATTTCAATACTGCTTCCAGCGAGGTGATGGCAGGTCCGGGCTCAGGTGCCCTTGTGCCGCCATGCTGACCAAGCTCTCAGGGAGAACGTGCGACTGAAAGGTGTCGAAGGGCGGACCAGACCGGGCTTCAAGTGGAAAAGTTCCTTGTCCTTCATTGCGGAGCGGTGTGAAGTTGTCAGCCTGGGCAGCCACTAAGGTGCAAGGAACACAGCACCTTCTGGCAGCGATGGAGCCAAACCCACGCAGCAGCCTGCCCAAGAGAGTGCAGCAGAAGCGGCCGAGATGCCACACCTGCTGCCCACTCAGGCCAGCCCTTTGCGACAGCTGTTCTCATGGCATTCATCTGGTTTTGGCAGGCTCCGGAAGTCCCAGTTCAAGCTGCTTTTGCCAACGGAGAGATGGTGGAAATCATAGGCACGACACAGACCGGCAGACAGATGCAAGCATAACATGGACTTCGCAGTCGGACTTGGAAGGCTTGCAGGGTGCACTAGACCTGAACGGACGAGTGGGTTCGGAGCTCGCCGTTTCCTTCACTCTGGCTGTGCTGAGCCGTGGATCCCCAGGCATCGTGCGCGAGTTTGACCCAGCCTCGAGGAGGCACAGAGCTGCCGCCTCAGAGACTTTTTTCGAGACTCGCAGTCGCTCTGTTTGTCTACACATGGAGTGTGTGCCTCCCTGTGTTTCCTTTTTGCGCTTTGTGGTGCCGGGCCAGCGCACGACATTGAGGGGGAGTTAGGGGTTCGCGCTGTTTCAACGGCTTCCGACTCGGGAAAGTCGTGACAAGCGAGATCGGTACGTTTTCGATTGGGATTTTTGCCGAGTTTTGGGTGTTCTCCGACACTGGGATCTTCATTTAAGGCTTGGGATGGCCCGAATTCTGTATGAAAGCAGGAGCAAGATCCAAGGTGGAGCTTCTTGAAGAGGATGGAAGTGTCCGACAAGTCCGTGTGAGGCCTTTCTTTGGCCGACCTGCCGCGACATCTTCCTCCCACCCTGCCCTGTGTATAACACGGCAGCTTTAGAACCTCCTGTCATCGCATCCGACAGGCCAGCAAACTTGGACTTGCCATGCTCTCAAAGATCATTGTCCAGTCGTCTGCACCACATGGCACTTTCTGATCTTGAGTTAAAGGCTGAGCGCCGAAGAGTTCATGCCTTCGCGAGCATCCAAGCAAGAGCCGCCGAAGGTCAGCAAGGAGCTATGCTTAGTCAAAGAAGGATCAAAGCAAAGCAACTGCCTGGGCGTCCAGGGAGGGCTTCACCTGGGATCCTGCCACCTTTGGCAAGCTTCTCTGAACAGAGCTTCTTTTGCAGAGGATCCTGCAACGCTGCGCCCTTCGCAGCCAGTCAGATTCTCGGATCTCAGCGAGGTTGCTGCCTGCTGCAAATACGGCGGGAGCCTGCGTGACTTCATGAAGTTTATTTGTTCTGAATGTTGCAACATTAGGTTCGGACGTCCCGTGAAGAGCCAGAAATGGTTCGCCCTTCCTGGATTCAAACACTGTGTTCGTGCATTCTTATCCAAGCTTCTGTTCGAGCCTTGTTACAGGCTGTGGCGCTTGCGACCGCCGTCAATCAGTGTGATCTGTTTCAGGCCAACGTGCTGGCGGACGTTGTCTTTTGTTCAGTGCCAGTGCAATGGTCACCCTCAACGTAGTGTGGTGTCACGTGTGAGCAGGTCCAGGCATTGCTTCGTGACAGAGCTGACCCGAATGGCCCCTCACAGTCACCCGGCACACCCTTGCTGCTCGAAGCTGCGCGCGACTCAGAACGGTTTGGTTCTGAGTCCCAGCCGTTTGCAGCTTGAGCAAACGACTGTGAAGCTTCACAGGCTGCAAAGACTGCTGCGCAGAGCCTTGACTTGGCTGCACTCCTGTACGGATCTCTGCACTGGGTGCCGTTGGGTGCCGTTGGGTGCCGTGCTTGCCGACCTACGGTGACCTACGTGCTCCTTGCAAGGCTCGGATACAATGCCGACCCGGCTGTGCTGGATCGTCCTCGACCTGCCAAGGTCCAGTTCGTAGCGGAATTGTTGTAGCCGACAAGAACTTCGTACGTTATTCCGAGGCGGTCCGGTCGGAGACAGAGGTGCCCTTTGCTGCAAGACATATCATGTTCAGGCGAATCAACACTCCTTGCCTATCCGTTGGGCGCGAGGTGGAGACACTTTGCCAAATCTTTCGCACCAAGAGCGCATCCACGGAAGAGGTGTTCCCTTCCTCGCTTAACTTGAGCTTTGATGTCAAACTTGCCTGTAGCACAAGACGACGTTTGTCAGCCAGCCGTCAGGGAAGTTGTCGAGAATGCAGCGCTGGTTTCTGTCAAGCCAGCACAATTCGCCTGCTGAGCGAGGAGCGTGCTATCCTGTCCAAGCTTGATGCTGGAGCACTGGCACAGGCTCTGCTCATTTCTGCTTTAGACAAACCCTGCATAAACATGTCAATGTACCTTCTTCAATCAGAGAGCAGGATGTCATAAGACGGCGCTCGCTGTTTGCAAGCTGTTGCTTTTCAGGCGCGCCGGCTGCTGAAGCTGTCTGGGCCCTTCGCGCCGCTCGGAGCAAGTTGGATAAGAAAGCAAGCTGACGATTTACGTGCCTGTTCTAGCTCTCAGCATCAGCACCAGCACCATGTGGAGCTTGACACGAAGTGCCCTGAACCCTGATTCTAGCTGAACCTCATACCCCGAAACCCGACAAACAATCTACACTTGTCCGACCCCGGTCCGCCGACTGGCGCAGAAATGATGCCCGAGCTGTAAGCCAACGCCTTATTAAGCCTTATTACTTATACTTGGTTGATGTTGAGGCCTCGTACATCGTCAAGCTCCGCGGTCGGCTGTAGCAGTCGTAGGAGCGCAGCCTAGCCCCATCTAGCCCCAAACTCCATGTCGGATCAACAGTGCCTGTGGCTCACAGCCCTGCATATGAAGGTAATCAAGCTTTGCGGGTGCCTGCCGAAACGCGACTTCCATGGAAGAAAACCTAGCTTTGGACGAAGGTAGTGTTTGGAAGACAGCCCACATCTTGAGCAGAGGCTAACATAGGTATCTGATCTAAAAGTTTGTAAGCTTGTTGATTCACTCGTCATCAGCTCAAAATGAGCATAAAGGATCATGAATGAGTTCCCCAAGCGTCCATGCGTAAGCTGCCGGAGACATCTGAAGATACTATACCGGCAGAAACATTAGGCAAAGCGGTCACTGGCTATGGGCAGAAACGCGAAACAGACCAGAAATGATCAAAACGTGAGCATGGGCTTGTAATTGAGGCTGGGGGGCATCGCACCTGCAGTCTGTCTCGAAGAATCCAGCAGCTGCCAAGAGTTGGAGGACTTCATGCGATAGTTTGCCTTGATCCGCAAGTCGTACCGCAGCTCTCATGTGTGTGTGTGCACGGTGCAGGCCACGAAGGCGCACAGGCTTTTTCTACACTCGGCAGATGGCCTGCGGCCTGTCCTGGTCATGCGCCCCTCGGCAGGCCCTCTCGGGATCTCTCGCGGCCGTCTGCGGCTTTGCATCTCTTTGTGTTCCGGTGGCCTGCAGGTCAACCAAGCGCCCTGGTGGTATTGCTCCATGGGTGCACCTGGCATCTTTGCCGGTTGTACTTACTCTGTCCGGCAAGAAAACATGCTGCCTTCTACTTTGGCTGATCTCAGCTGCTTTTCTTGACGAGGCTCTTTCAGCACATGCCTCGGCAATTGTGGTGCGACGACACGCCAAAAAGGGATCGGCTGCACAGCGCAATCCAGGTCGGCACGGATGTTGGAGACGACAGTGCGCCGCCTTTCTGACTCAGTTCCTCACATGCTGTTTGCGGCCCGCCTGCATCAGCAGAGCAATGGTTTGACGGTTTGAATGGGATTCTTTTGCCGATTCAGAAAACACAGAACAGCGGAAATGGCACACCAGAGGTGATGCCCACCGCGCCTACACGTGCCGGCAGCTGAGAGCGATTCGCGAGCCTCTTTGCTTTGCACTGTTGCTGTTTTTGTCGTTCCAAGGATGGCTGGAGTGTTGGCCCTGTCACATGCTAAGAGTGCCACAGAGTGCCATAAGAGTGCATGAGTCTGCACAGACGACTGTGTCATCACCAAGACTACCTGCCCACCTGCCGCCGTGTCATTGCCCTCAAGTTTCAGCAGAACTGAGACGAAGAGCGGGAGATTTCTGGCACAGGCAGTGCAGCTTCAGTGTCATTCAGCGTTCAATGAATGCAGAAAGCGTTGTGATGCCCGACAGAGGTATTGCTACGGTTGGTTGCTGTCTGCCTGTTTTAGGACACCGTGTCTTAGCTTGCACAGTCCGGCGATTCAAACTCATGGCGTTGTACAACATGGGCTTTCATGATGCGAAGCTCGCCTGGGGCAACTGGGACTATGTGGACCTTTCGCACTTCTCGAACATTCCGCCTGGAGGTGAGTTGAGGACGTCCGCAGTGATGTTCGTGAAGGAGTGTCGGGAGAAAGCCCATCCTCCGGGACTCTTTGCAAGTGTGGCCTCCTTCACAGCAGGAATTGCACTTCACAGGATGTGGCATCACCAGAAGAAATCAGAGAAGGTGACAATTCCGCGACTCGTGGAGCTGCCGAATCGCAAGGCGTGTTCCGAAGTCCAACGGCCGTCGAACTGGGCTTTGCCATTGGTGGTGAAGTGCTCAGGTGCAGCTGTTTTGGTTATGGCAGCTTCGCGCAAGGTGCGACGGCGCATTTGGAAGGGGGCACGGCTGCTGGACTTGAAGGAAAGAAACGTGTCCAGAGCCCCTTCTACGCCCTCGGAGGCCCCATCACCGGTTCCAGTGGCACCTGCCCACTCTGTCGATGGAAGTGTATGGCGTGAAGTGGGTGGCGCCCCTCATCCGCGAGTCCAAGAGGCACCTACTTGCATACCATGGACAAGTCAGAACGTGCACGTCAGAAGTGCCCCGGCCGTGCCTGCGGGTGGAGCTGACAAGGGAGACAAGCGCGTGGGCGATGATGCCAAACCCGAGGTCGAGAAGACGTTTCCAACAGGTTTGAAGCCCGCGGCCGACAAGACCGGTTCGTCGGATGTGAAGCCGGAGGCCGACAAGACCCTGCCCCAAGATGTGAAACAGGATGTCGAAAAGATCCCGCCCATGGATGTGAAACCCGAGACCGACAAGATCCCGCCGACAGATGTGCAGCCAGAAGTCGACAAGTCGCTGGAGAGCAAAGCCATACCGAATGAAGGTGCATCCAAAGGCAAGGGTCCGCAGGGAAAGGGTCCGCCACTAAAGGGCAAGGGCAAAGGAAAGGTGCCATCTCAATCTCCGCCTGAAGGAAAAGGCTCAACAGGCAAGGCGGCAATTCGTGCCTTGGTAGAAGCTGCCAAACAGCAGACAGAGTTGCCGGAGCCACGCAACCGTAAGTGGAGCGCTCCGAAATCAACAGGGACGAGTCTGCTTGACACCTCCAGGGCCACTAACCTGGCGATCATGCTCAAGAAGCTCCCGGTATGCCCTGCCGAGTTCTGTGAGTGTGTGAAGATGCTGGACAGCTCTCATTCCCAGATTGCCGTTGGCCATGTTGAGCTTGTTCTCGCTAACATGCCCTCCCAAAGTGAGGCGAACAAGCTGCTGTCATATGACGGCAGTGAAGGACCGCTTCGAGATGTCGAAAACGAAGTTTTGCCACTTTGTTTGCTAAGTGCCTCGGCAGTGAAGGTCTTCAAGATCGCCATGGAACATGAGGATGTCTATGCACGGCATATGGCACGGTGCAGAACCATCTCGAATGCCGCGCAGGAAGTTTGCCGTAGCAGAGAGCTTCGCGAACTCCTGACCTTGATCCTCCACACCGGCAAGTACATCAACTCTGGTGCACCAGGTGCCAATGCTGCTGAGACCTTCAACGTCGAGGCGCTGCAGTCCCTGTCCACCTTCAAGATTGGCCCAATCTCTGCGCTTCACTTTCTCTGCATTTCTTTCCGGGGCATGAAGAGGGAATTCCTGCAGCTGCTCTTGTCGAGCTTGCGACACGTGCATGCTGCGGCCAAGGAGAAGTTCGGCCAGCTTGATGTCGATATCCATTCGAGCTTCCAGGACGATGTGAAAGCCGCCGAGAACAGACTGGAACAAGTGAAACCGGAAGTTCAGGGCGGGGTTTCACAGCACCTGGAGCAATGTCACTATGAAAGACTCGCGATGCTGACGACTCAGATGACATCCGAGCTTGCAGCTTTGAGGACCTCCTTTGACTCGGCAAAGCAGCTCGTCGCAGAAGCTCAGGCTTATTGCGATGGTGCTTCAAGGGAGTCGATGCCCGCAGAGCACTTCTTTCAACATATCGCCACCTTCTTGGGCATCTTCCAGGCGACTTGGGAGGAGATTGATGCGCAACCAGCAAAGTGGCGGAAGTACTTGTCAGAGGCTGTGACAGCTTCTGCGCTAAGCAACGACATCACAGCATGGGCCCAGCAGCTTGCACGTCAAAGCATCAAAGACAAGCATGACGCGCCGTCCAGGCAGGAATGCACAAAAGTTCTTGAGGCAGCACGCAGGTCACTTGTGGCAGGTCCAAACATGAACACAACTTGCAGACTGAACCCGCTGGTCAGGCAAACATCATCTGATGCCGACATTTCATCTTCGGGGCGTGCTTTCTCGGATGTGTCCTCAGTGAGCAATACAGAGGCCAAGAAACTGAAGTTTCCTGCTATGAACTTCGTCGGCATCCACGCAGACCAAGCAAACCATTCGCCGTTACCCTCTTGTTTGCCGACCCGCTCGCCTTCACCCACTTTGAGAGCACCATACTGCGGAATCGCTTCAGCGTACAATGTTCGCGAAAGGCCCAGCAAGTCCAGATCCCCACCCCGGAGGCAAGAGGAGGAGTCGGAGGAGTCCAAAGGCTCGGTTCCAGTCGAAAGATCCGGAAGATCCAGGCCACGGACATCTTCACAACATTCGCTATCCACAGCCCCGCCCAGAAGCAAGTCCCCGCAGTCAAGGTCACCGGTCAGAGAGGCGCTGATGGCTCACACACCGACTTGGGGGAGAGCAAGCAGCGGATCTGCAGAGGAGCTTCTATCTTCCTTGTCTCTGTCCTACAGTGGTGGGCAAAGTGGCGCAACGTCGCGATCCGTGTCTCCGGCTCCGAACAAGGTGACCACTCGAGATGGCGGCGACAAGTCTTCAAGCAGTGCATCTTCCCCGGCGGCTTCGCCACGCCAGAACTCCAGTTCACGGGCACCGTCAGCAGGTTCCCATGGTGGTCATGTGGGCAGCGATTTCTTGCCCGACATTTCAAGGGACGTCCATGCGACTGAAAGCGAAGAAGCTTCCGTTTCCAGAGCACAAGCACCAAGGCCTAGGGCAGATGACCTTTGCGAGTTTCACGTGCTTCATGACGAAGCTGGTCAGGCATCCAGGCAAAGTGGCTTCGAACAGATGCTCCGGAGACTCGGTGTGCGCAGGGCTCCTGAACAACAGACAGAATGAAGCATGCAAATGCAAAGAGCGTAGTTAGACGATGCGACGAGGAGAAGGGCACATGCATCTAGCGTTTACGTAGGTACATCCATTCAGCAAGCTTTGCATGCGGTTTCATCCTATGGATCTGCCTTCGAGCGTGTATAGACTCAGCCAGCCACGTGCAGTGCCACACGATATGCACGGATATGCCACTTTGACGAGCGGTTAGTGTTGCTAGATTTGTCATCTCGCAACTGTGGCTGGTGCCAGGGCGAGGAAGAGAAAACAGGCTCTTCTTGCTGCCCCCCACATTTGAAGTACAGCTTGGCAACAGCGCAAGCTTTGTTTCCTTCCTTTTAACAATCTACTCTTGGGACAGGAACACGACTGCCCAGCCATTTGCCGGAAGCCTGACAGTAGTCACAAGCCTAGGCCAAGCAGCGGACAATCTGGAGCACAAATACCTGACGTGAGCCTTGCGTGTTGGATAGAATCACGGGCTTCCTTGAAACACAGAACGGCAGTACAACACGGTACAGCCCGACTGAATCTCCAAGTCATGCCGAATCCTTTGCAGGCCGTTGAGGTCTTTCATTGGCAACACTTGGCCCTCCGAATTCGCTCATGAATGTCTCGATTGCATTGCAAAGACATGGAAATCATGAGCCAGACTTCGTAGAAATTCTGGCCAAGTATGCGCGTCTAACCAGCTGCAGCAAGAAGAAAATCAGATTGAAAAACGCAGGTGTGCTGCAATGCGTGATGTCGTGCCAGCTCTTCCTGGCAGATTTACCCGACTGCATCTCATTGCTTCCGTGTCTAAGGCATGGTTTGACCACACACGGTCCGCTCGCAAAGCTGAAGCTCTTGAGGCGGTGCTGGAACCTTGCCGAACAACTTCTGACTGGGCGAGCATGCTGGTATTCAGTGCCTGCGACGACAGCAGGAATGTCGGTCCGAAATCCTGGCGCTGCTCAGCTCTCAAGGCAAAGGAATCAGCTTGATTTGCCGGCCAGATGGAGCTTGCCGCGCCGCCCGAAGGCCACGAGTGGGGCATCTCGCCCGAGCGAGTGGTTCTCGCGGGCTTCTCCATGGGCGGCACGCTGGCAGCCTGGACGGCGTTGCAGGCGAGACAGCATCGAGTAAAGGAGTGCTCCGTTTGCAAAATTGCAAAATACATCGCAAAAAGAAGCCTAGCAGGCCTAGCAGAATACTTGTTGGTCAGATCTCCCTGTTTTTTTTCTGTTTGTCCATGTTCCCCTGGCTGTGTCCCGGTCTCTGTGTGTGTGTGTGTGTGTTGGTGTTGGTGTTTGGTTGGTTCGGAGGGTGCTCGAAGTATCCTCGTCACGAAATGAAACAAGTCTTGAAGGGCCCCCTCTTCGCGTTGTCGCAGGTTTAAGGGCCACACTTGCATGATGAGATTAAACATGGGTCGTGCTTTCGGGTTGAGGGCTCAGAAGTCTGCACCGTCATCTTGCAGGCTTGATCATAACATATCAGAACCAACGCCACCACGTAGCATGAAACATCCTCCGGCTGCAAGAACATTTGAAGGAGGTTCCATAGCATGACACGGACTCACACATCATGCGACAGAACTAGACCATCCACTCTCCAGCGCCGCGAAGCGTCGCAGCAGTGCAGGAGACATGCTGCACGTGATTGGCATCTCAACTCAGATTCACGGACCGATGAACTAGGTGTCCACGAGTCCTGTGTTCGGAAATGTCAAGCCAGCAATTGCTGTCATGTCTGTCGTTGTCTGCTTCTTCCATCAAGCCAAAATGATGCAGACGCGAGTAACAGCGTGCGCTATCGTGTGATTGTGTTCATGGTAATTGCTTCTCCGAAGGAGGTGTCACTGAAATACTGCCCCGTCCGGATTGAAAACTTACGAGTTGCATGCGCGGCCGTGCAGGGGCGCGCACGCGTGTGTTTTTCGGTGTAGTGCTTGCGTGCGCTTCCGCTACACTGCTGCACACTCGAAATGAGCATGTCAACTATCAATGGAAGTGCGAGTTCGGTGCTGCAACGGAGCAAGCCGAAACGTATGCAAAGGAGCCACGACAAATGCACAAACCTGGGTGTTGTAAGACACAGTTTTGTTTAAAGACATGTGCAAACAGATGCGTCCAACTTTGTTTGAGCACCCTTCGTTAGTTGATATAATCTGCGCTTTTGCACTATGAATAGCCAACTTGTACTTAGCGTTCTAAACCCGTGGCAACGCGTAAACTTGAAGCGATCATCAGGATTGGAGTGGTCACCACGAATTGTGCGCCGGAGAATCGGTCAGTGCTGAAGATCAAAGATTAGACCGGCAAGAAGACCGGTAGAGATGGCGCCAGCCGAAACACTACCAGTCGGGACGCAATGCAGACAAAAAACAAACGAAACTAATTTCACAGGTCAGTTGAGGACTTGTTCCTTTGGAAATCGTTTTCCTTTCACATCATTGAGGCCTTCATGCTCCCGAGATGTCTACATGCGAGGTGCCACGACCACTTGCCGGACTCTTGCTATTTGGCACGGAAGGCCTACAATTGCGGATGACCGTTCAAAGTCCACTTGCATTCTGCGGATTCCTGCAGGCCTCAGCTTCACAGGAGGCTGGGCGGCTCCGAAGACGCTGGACGGTCCTGGCTCGGACAGCTTTGGGAAGAGTCACTGCAACTTCGACAAGCTCATGTGCTTGCAACAGAGCGGAGCAGATTTGTAAAAATGAGTTATGCCCATTTATTGTTGCCGAATGTTTGTTTGTGGGAAAGGGATGAGCGCATCCTGGTATCACAGCACTTGTTTATCGAACTAATCAGCCAGCATCAGCTGGAAGCGGTAACTCGTGGTGGTACACGTCTGCACAGCATGAGCGAAAAAGAGTTTTGCAAAAGCCGTGTTCTCGTGAAATCACAACACTGGCACGAATCCGTCACGCAGCGGTCCGAAGCACTCTTCCTGTGCACCGAGATTGGTCAGATGGATTTTCGCGGAGCGGTCGCCAAAGATTTAGCATGAACAAGCAAGTTCCGGACGGCAAAAGAAAAACCGTCGGTCTCTTCATCACGGATTCTTGGAGTTCGTAGAGTTTCGGGACTGGCACGGGTAGGTAGAGTCTGATCAGAGTCGCGCTGCGCTTGTGCCGGCTCTCGGTCCGCCGGCACGAGTGTATCAGAAGAGTGCAGGACTGGGCTGTCGGGGCCGAGTCCTTGCAAGTGCTGCAGTGCCCGGGAGCTCGGGAGAGGCGTTGCCTTTGCCTCCCTTTCCATTCCCTTTAGAATGTGCGAATGGAGACGGCTAAGGCCATGGACGCGAGGACGGCAAGCCTTGCCGCTGTTGTGAAGCACAGCATAGTGCCTTCTCTCCAGGATACCCTTTGTCCTATTGGCTCTGCAACGACCTGTGCTGATGAGCTGCGGCGCCTGGGGTGCAGTCAGGCTCTTAGTATTCGAAGGCATCAAAAGATGCATTCCCGGGCTTTCCGAAGCTGTTCCCTTTGTCCATGATTCTTCCGCGAGAAGTAAACAACATGGTCCTTGGTCGATGATGGATTCCAACTCCGGAGGCCGCGATGTTTGCAGCAAACTCGAGAACCGACATTCGTTCCATTTCGTTCCTTTGGAAATTTCTGATACGGGCATTATTTTCAGTCATGTCAGTCCTGTCCATAATTTTATCGCTAACGCGAGGCCGCCTCGGCAACGGTAGTAGAGGCTAGGAGCGAAGCCGCGCCGCGCAGCCATTCCCCCCCCC